AGCATATGAGACATATTCACTTAATTCAATTAAAGATTGTGCGTTTTTCGGAACATTTAAAGCTTTTGTTTTTAGATTTTCGAATTCTGAACAAATAGACAGATTAAATTCTTGATGATAATCAATTAATTTATTTAAAAAAATATCTACAATATTATGTGATTCTTTTTTTAAAGCATTTCTAGCTTCATATTGTTCTAATTTTCCTACTGTATGATATGTATTCGCAACAATTCCTTTTGCTTTTACTAAGTATATTTTATACTTTTCTATGTATTTGATATATAAATCAAAATTTACTTCTCCTGATGTTAATAATAGTATTTCATCTTTTATTGTTGGTACACATATGGGATAAAATTCTTCATTGATATGTGCAACATGTTCATTCATAGATTGAAATAAATTGTATAATGTAACATCTAATTTATCATGGGATTCTCTAATATACCAATCGGGTAATTTTATTTTAATATATCTGGAATATGGTTTGATATTTAACCATTCTTCCAATGGTACTAAATCTTGGGCAATAGTGCTAATATTCCCAATTATACTATGATATAGTGAATATATTTCTTCAATGCTAGGACTAACAAGAAGCTGATTATTTTGGAGAATAAGTTGAAATTTAATTTGTGGGCAATGATGTCCATTGCTTAAAATGTTTAACAAATGATTAATAGATCTTATCATGATATTTATAATTTGTTGCACAAAAACATGTGTTATACATTGCATGATACTTGATAATTTTTTTTTATCAGTTGCTATTTTAACTACAGCTTTAGATACTTCATTGTAATACTGATTTATTAGAATCAAAGATTTTCTAATGTCACTGATAATCATTTGCTGAAAATCAGTTAATGATATAAGTCCATAAGAACAGTAATGATCAAAATTACAGATAACTGTTGGAAGTTTAAACTGTGCTGTATTTATAATGAATTTAATTGGTTCTAAAGAAAGAAAATATTTTTCTTTTAATAATTTGCGACGAATTATAAATATATTATAAGTGAAACCATTTTTCTCATTCGGAATGTTATAATTCATACAATTTCGTGTAGAAAAATGATCTATATTTTTGTTTGGCATCAATAATATAGCTTCCATTATACAATTTTGCATGTCCTTATTATAAATATTGTTTATTTCATTCAATATCAATTGTATTAATGAAAAATATTTCTTTTTATACATTTTCGGTAATAAATTCAAAATATGTTCTTCCCAATCAATTGGAAATTTTATAAAACTAATATTTTCTAAACATATTTCCATCTCATTATATATTAAATTTTCAGGTTTACAAGCTCCAATACTAGAGTTGTATATATTTACCACATTCATGTTCTTATCCCATATAAATGTACTCCTACAAAAGTTGTGCATATAAATTCAGAAAATTTTCTTTAAAAGGAACTATTAATTTTATTACCTTATTTTGTAGTGTTTATAATTAAGATTGCATGTACGATACAAAAGTCCTTTGACTGCAACAACATAAAATCTTATGAATTATTATTACGAACGATTATATTAGCAGAATATTTGTAACAATTTTAAATATATTTATGACAGATAGTACAGTTAATATACCATGGGATTAACTAGCAGTATGTTTTATCAATACCTTGGTCGCTTGGCGGGTCAGTTCATGAATTAACTAGTAAAATGAATGATGAGCTCGATTCAAAACCCGGATGTCAAAATAATTAATTATCCATAGGTGCTTCCGATATTGAAAGCGCGAATGGCGTTGGGAGTGGGGGCTCTAGACGCCTTTGCACGTGGCCCAAACAGAGGCCGGCACTGGGTGCGACCCCCCGGTGTCGGCCATATGCTGGCAATTGTGTGCCAGGTGTTGAGGTCTCCGGAATAATGTACATAAGGTCCCGGAGCCCTCGTTTCGCCAGTGTCGGTCGCCGTGGGGTTTTAGTCAGTAGGAATCTGACACTCCCCCGCCGCCCACCCCCAGGGGACGGTGGGGGGTCTTATGTAAGATTTCCCCACGTTAAAAAAAAAAAAAAAAAAAAAATATTTACAGCCACTGATTCGAGCACCGGTAGCTGACTGCTGCGACAAAGGGGAACGCTATGGCTGATCGGGCACCGTTGTCAACCGTAGAGCAAGGTGAAACTCCCTCAGTCTTGTAGCGACCGCCGTGGTACGCAGATCTACCTGTTAAACATACATATACCTTCATTCTATTATCTGCGTTCATTTAATTTGCTGTATTTTAAAAAAATATATATATATTTACATCCCCGCAACCCTTATATTCCGCCATCCTCTACACCCATGTATTCCTTATATCCCTGCTTTCTTTATATTCCTGCGTCCCTTACATCTCTGCATCGCTTTCATTCCTGCATTCCTTACATTCCTGCCTTCTTTATATCCCTGCACCCTTTACAACTCTGCATTCCTCACGACCCTGCTCTCTTTATATTCCTGCATTACTTACATCCCTGCAACCCTTATATCTCTCCATCCTTTACATCCATGTATTCCTATGTATTCCACATACATCCCTGCAACCCTTACAACTCTTACTCCTCACATCCCTCGTTTCTTTATATTCGTGCATTACTTACATCCCTGCAACCCTTATATCTCTACATCCTTTACATCCATGTATTCCTATGTATGCCACATACATCCTTGCTTCCCTTATATACCTCACCAGACATTGAAAAATCGTGCTGAATTCAGTTCCTTTTTTTGAAACCAGATGGCGCTGATTCGACGTCGAGATTTTAGTTCACATTTTTCCCGCTAGAGGGCCAAAATTTCGGCAAGCTTTAATTCCTTTTTTTGAAACCAGATGGCGCTGATTCGACGTCGAGATTTTAGTTCACATTTTTCCCGCTAGAGGGCCAAAATTTCGGCAAGCTTTAATTCCTTTTTTTGAAACCAGATGGCGCTGATTCGACGTCAAGATTTTAGTTCACATTTTTCCCGCTAGAGGGCCAAAATTTCGACAAGCTTTAGTTCCTTTTTTTGAAACCAGATGGCGCTGATTCGACGTCGAGATTTTAGTTCACATTTTTCCCGCTAGAGGGCCAAAATTTCGGCAAGCTTTAATTCCTTTTTTTGAAACCAGATGGCGCTGATTCGACGTCGAGATTTTAGTTCACATTTTTCCCGCTAGAGGGCCAAAATTTCGACAAGCTTTAGTTCCTTTTTTTGAAACCAGATGGCGCTGATTCGACGTCGAAATTTTAGTTCACATTTTTCCCGCTAGGGGGCCAAAATTTCGGCAAGCTTTAGTTCCTTGGGGGCACAATGCAGTGCGTATTACAGGGGTGTAAGGGATGCACGAATGTAAGAGGTACAAGGAGGTAAAGGATGCCGTGATGTAAGGGATGCAGAGATGTAAAGGATGCAAGGAGATAAAGGCTAGAGATATGTAAAGGATGCCGTGATGTAAAGGATGCCGTGATGTAAAGGATGCAAGGAGATAAAGGCTAGAAATATGTAAAGGATGCCGTGATGTAAAGGATGTAGAGATCTAAAGAATGCAAGGAAGTAAAGGATGTAAGAAATGCAAAAATATAAGGGATGCCGGGATATAGGCTTGAACCCTGCGAGGCCCGCAAATAAGGGTAAAATAATAAATAAAAGGATAAAATAATAGGGGTAATAAAATCAACACGTTCATCCTTCTAATCAGTTTATTCAATAAGCTAAGAAGGTAAATACTGCAAATTACATAAACGCAGAAAATAAAATAAGGGTACATGTATGTTTAACAGATAAATCCGCACTTCTCGGCGAAAGGATAAAATAATTAATAACTGAAAGGGGTGGCCTTGGCCTATAAATAGGGATAAAATTATATAAATAACTGGGAAAAATGAAAAACAACGGGTCCTCGGCCGAGGCCCAGAATATGGATACAATCATAAATGTTATTCCATTTCGATGATCTTATTTAATAAGCAAAGAAATTAAATATATAAATAAACTCCAGAAAGAAATTAGAGGACGATTATTATACTGGTTGCCCTGTTCATACGGACCTGATTTCATTCAGGGGTGTTAGGGACCCCGTTGCGCAGAACACCCTCTGGATACCGACCAGGTATCATCCTGGGGTGTTAGGGACCCCGAAGTATCGATGGCGCGCTCTGTATACCGACCTGACGTCATCTTGGGATGTTAACGACCCCTAAGCACTTGCGACACTCTTTGCATACCGACATGATGGCATCTGGGGTGTTAGGGACCCCGAAGTATCGAGGACACTCTCTATATACCGACTTGACATCTTGGGGTGTCGAGGACCCCTAAGCACCAGCAACACTCTTCACATACCGACATGATGGCATCTGGGGTGTTAGGGACCCCGAAGTATCGAGGACACTCTCTATATACCGACCTGACGTCATCTTGGGATGTTAACGACCCCTAAGCACTAGCGACACTCTTTGCATACCGACATGATGGCATCTGGGGTGTTAGGGACCCCGAAGTATCGAGGACACTCTCTATATACCGACTTGACATCTTGGGGTGTCGAGGACCCCTAAGCACCAGCAACACTCTTCACATACCGACATGATGGCATCTGGGGTGTTAGGGACCCCGAAGTATCAAGGACGCTCTCTATATACCGACTTGACATCTTGGGGTGTTGAGGACCCCTAAGCACCAGCAACACTCTTCACATACCGACATGATGGCATCTGGGGTGTTAGGAACCCCGAAGTATCGAGGGCGCTCTCTATATACCGACTTGACATCATCTTGGGGTGTTGAGGACCCCGAAGCACCAGCGACACTGCATACCGACATGATGGCCTCTGGGGTATCAGGAACCCCGATGCATCGAGGACGCTTTCTATATACCAACTTGACATCATCTTGGGGTGTTGAGGACCCCGAAGCACGGGTGACACTGCATACTGACATTATGGCATCCGGGGTGTTAGGAACCCCGAAGAACGGGTAACAATCTTTACAAAAAACAAAGTCGTGTCCAGTTCTTTTGTATCTGTAGTCATTGATACAACGTGTTATGATTATAAACTCCTAACCTTTAAATAAATAATATGCAAATAAAAATCATTAGTAATAAAATGCTTTTATGTACAACACGGTTGTCAAATATTTAGTTATATTTTATTGACAAAAAGGTTAAAACAAAGACTTACACAAATGAAACATATTTTTATTTTTATTTCAAATCTACATATATAGAAAAATTCATTACAGGATTGAATTATATTTATACAGCTTATATTATAAATAAACTATGTCGAAAATGATTGATGATGAAGATTGTAAATCTAACATGGAATCTATTGATGATTGTAGTGCAGAATGTTGTAAAAATTGTGGGTATTTGTGTGATCCGTATAAAAAGCCAGCATTACGCTGTAATTTATGTTTGAAGAAGATTCATATAGACTGCTTGAAAAGAGGAAGTGTCCCAGTATCTTTTGTAGGCGATGTATTTTTTGATTTAAATTGTGGTCAATGTAGTCCTTTTGGTGAAGAGACAGTAACCCGTAATAGAATGCCTTGGCTTAATGTAATTGTATTGACATTATATAATTTACGGGAAAAATCAAGTGGTATCAGTAAGAGAGGCTACTTTCATTGGAAATCTGATATCAGTACTTTTGTTGACCGTAATTGGGATTACTTGTTTAAAAAGACTGTGTAAGTGATTTATATTAAGAATATTTAATATGATGTTACTGCAATAATGTTTGCATTTTCAGTAAAAGAAAAAAGAATTGGATTGGTACAATATCTGGAACTCTTTCTCACTACAGTGGAATTTTTTTTAAATCAGGAACTATAGAATTAGGAGAATCTGGTTGGTGGAGATTAATAGATAACGATCCACCTGAAGTCCTCATTGCCAAAAGTAATAACTGTATTTGTAATTCTCTTGTAAAATATTTGCTATACAATCAATGTACAATCTACGTACAACATTTTGTATTTTTATAGATGGAAAAATGATATTAGATCGTAAAAAACAAATTTATCCTAAAGCAGCAAATAAATCACATGATAGTCCAACTCCATCAGAATCCAGTATTTCAGTTGGAGAAGATAATTGCTATGGTAATGGTTTAATAAAAACTGAAGAATACCCTGTATATTCACAAAACTACATTCAACCAGATACAACATTGTTAGACTTTTTACTTGAGGAAGATGAACTAACCAGTATGTACATATGCAGCAAACAAAATGTACAAAACTATACATCATAAAAATACTTTTTAATTTTAGATATGGAAATCGAAGATGACATGATTTCCAATGAACAAAGCGATACTCCATCCTTATCAGATTTAATAAGAGATTGTCAATATCAAACTAATAACTTTCATTTCTCCCAATTACTGGATGAATTTGTGCCAGAATGGTCATCAAATACAGATACTATTTCTGAAAATATTAACACTATTAAAATGGAACAAACAAAAGAAGAAGAAGAAGAGCAATATGAAGAAGATAGTAATGATAGTTTAAGTTATGTTCAGGAACATCCACCTATTTCTCTATTTCGAGAAACAAAACAACGACCACGGCCCTGGCAAAGAAATCATGTAATTGGTAAATATCTTGAATACATACTTTTTATGTAACTTATACTTTTACAGTATGTGAATTTTTATATTATAGAAGAAAAGATACCATGCATGACGCACCAAGAAGAAGCATACTTATTACAGCAAGTTAATAAGTCTGCTCTTATCTCAGCATCTCCGGAAATCAGACGATTTTATCGAAAATTAGCTATCCGAAAATTAAAACGAGAATACGGTTTACCAATACTGGATATTGATAATTTTGGCCATAAAACAGAAATACTTGGTAAACCTTTAAAAGATTCTAGTAGAGTTTTGGATAGATTCTTTGGTGACGATTTGGGTACATTTGAACAAAGACTACAGGGATATAATGAGCCCACTTCTGTACATAGTCCATATACAAATAGACTTTTGAAACCATTTATAAGGAGAGATACTTCATGCCGTCCTTTATGGTTAAAAGTGATGGAAGAGTTGCGCGCTAAAGTCAATAAATTCAACCCTAAGTGGAAATTACCGCCATTAGCGCCGATTGATTACTCTTACGTGAGGCCGCAACACATTCCCGCAATTAATAGTCTGTGTAGTCAATTTTTTTGGCCTGGTATTGATTGTAAGTACATGTGGTAACGAGGCATTATCTCTAATAGTTATTTTTATATTTTTATCAAGATATATATAGACACAGACATCTTAGTTTGTATCTGAGAAAGGGAATAACGATGATGCATTATTATTTCAGTGACTGAATGTTTGCAGTATCCTGACTTCAGCTGTGTGGTTTTGTACAAAAAATTAGTGATAGGATTTGCAATTCTAGTTCCTGATGTTGGTTACAACGAAGCTTACATTTCGTTTTTCCTAACGCGCCCCGAATGGCGGAGATCCGGGATAGGAACATTTATGCTTTACCATCTCATTCAAACATGTATGGGCAAAGATGTCACGCTACATGTTTCCGCTACGAATCCCGCCTTAATATTGTATCAAAAGTTCGGATTTAAAGTGGAAGAATTTGTTCAAGATTTCTATGATAAATATATGCCACCGAACTCACGAGAATGCAGACACGCGCTCTTTTTGCGATTGAGTAGATAAATATTAATCAACTTAAAATACGCTTATGTATATCAAATATGAATGTGAATTCAATTTTTTGTATAATAAAGAATAAAGCTTTTAAATTATTACATACTACTGATTTACTATTGAAAGATTGACTCCTATGTATATGTGTTTTAAAATACGCAATATAATGCATTTAACGTAAAGAGCACGTATAAAAGCATAATATAAGTGACTGCCATACGCGCCGAACTCTCCAGACCGAAATCATAAGCAAATTGGGTAAATGGTGGGAGAGATTAGAGATTTTCTCCTACATACACCTCCCTTAGATCAGAGAAGCCATCTTTGCACGCCACCGTATCAATACAATACTCGGCTAAGTTCAGATTGCAAGAGAAACAACATTTTCTTCTCTAATTTCTATTTCTTAACATCAGATATTAAAAAATTACTGTTCATTGATTGAAAAATATCAATTATTTCATAAATTTTTATCATTAATTTATATCCACTATCTTGATATTATTATATCGACGTTATATTTTGTATATCGCGCGCATAATTGCTGTTCGCGTTTTCGATCTATAATCAAAAGTGGGGGTTACTGACGTCATTAAATAAGTGCTACGGAACTGCCGCCGACCCATTCTCGAAAGTTCCGGAAGCCACCAGAACGAAAGTTTGTATATATGGAGTGCGCAGCTTACGCGACACTTTAGTACGTAAGAAGAGGTGTTAAATGTTGTTTCGTCTAATCTGTCAGAAGCGAATTTCACATCAATCTACCTAATATTCAAAAGAGATTAGTGAATTTAGTGCCAATTGGATTGTATTATTTATTAACAACATAAGAAACAACGGTAAGTGATTTAAATGAAAATTAAAAAGGATGGTACTTCGTTGGGATCGCGATTCTGTCAGATGTTCGCGGGGAAAAAATGGGCAACTTCAGGTAGGGAGTTGTTCGCATACGTTCTTCGTATAATTCTTATAATTCATAAATATTCAAGGTTAAAGATTCGGACAATTATCGTGGAAAGGAGAGAATTTATTTTTACGCTGCTCGAAGTCGTTGCACGTTTGTAGAAGCGGACACGTTCGTCGCTTATACTCGCTCATCATTGCCAGAAATAGATATCGGTGAGATCGTACGTGGGTGCGCGTAGAGAGACATCCATACTTCTTTTCACGAGAATATGTGAAAAAAATGGCAGATCGTTGGCATTATTATATTTGGTATCCTCGCACTCCAACCTGTATCCCGATCTGCGGATGAATGCAGCATGTTTCGTATCTCCATCTATGAACCTATTTGCTGGAAAATGTATATCTAATCCCAAATAGTATTTCATAGTCTTTGGGGCTTTAAAAAAACACATAATTTTACGTCCTTATGTATACGCCCCATAATAATAGCATTCAGAGTAATGATTTTAAATTTAAATAAATTTTGGTGAAAAATTCGGTTCGAAAAGTCTGATCAATTTTCTAGAAGAAATTTCAAGAACATTCGAAAGGGGAAAAGAGTTCTTTGTGACGTCGAAGTCGTACTTGAAACTTCGGAAAGAATCGCACTTTTTGGTCACGTTACGTTAAACGTACCTTCCAAACCATCGATATAGCACATTACATGATGCTCCAAAAAATGTGGTTGTAATGATGTAATATTGTTTCGCTTGATTTACGATCGCGATACGTCTAGCAATATAATTTTCAACTCGGTAGATCAAACAAAATATGTACTGTACATCCGACAGAATTGTCAACAAGTCAATAAAAAATTGTTTACATAGACTTAAAGACAGTATATAATTAATTTAATAATGTATATGTATTTAAAGTACAATATACTAATTTTCTTGTACTTGAAATTGTTACAGAATAATCAATGGGGAAAGACTACTACAAGATCCTAGGCATAACAAAAAGTGCCAGTGACGATGAGATCAAAAAAGCCTATAGGAAATTAGCCTTAAAGTACCACCCTGATAAGAACAGGAGTTCTGGGGCAGAAGAGAAGTTCAAAGAGATAGCAGAGGCATATGAAGTACTTTCAGATGCCAAGAAGAGGGAGGTTTACGACAAATTTGGAGAAGAGGGACTGAAGGGAGGTGCAGGTGGTACGGCAGGAGGAGGCGGTGGTGGTACAACATACACGTTCCATGGAGATCCAAAGGCAACATTTGCTCAATTCTTTGGCTCTGCTAGCCCCTTCCAAACCTTCTTTGAATTTGGTGGTCCTATTGGGAACCGAGTATTTAGCTTCCACGACGACGACATGGACATTGACGATATCGGTCTGGGTGTTGGTCCTCAACGTCCAGGTGGTCAGGGAGGAGCATTTAGATCACATTCATTCAACTTTGTAGGCCCTAACTCTGGCAGGGGGGGTGGCAAAGATCGCGCTCAAGATCCTGCTATAGAACATGATTTGTATATCTCGTTGGAAGAGATTCTGCGTGGTTGCACAAAGAAAATGAAAATCTCTAGGCGGGTAGTACAACCGGACGGTAGCACGAAAAAAGAGGATAAAGTTCTGACGATCAACGTGAAACCAGGATGGAAGGCTGGCACCAAGATCACTTTCCCGAAAGAAGGTGACCAAGGTCGCGGAAAAGTTCCAGCGGATATAGTTTTCATTATTAGGGACAAGCCACATCCTCTCTTCAGAAGGGAAGGAAGCGACATAAGATACACCTGTAAGATAAGCTTAAAACAAGCTCTATGCGGTACTATCATCGAAGTTCCTACGTTGACTGGTGAAAAAATTAACTTGAATTTGACGAGAGAAATTGTTAAACCAAATATGGTCAAGAGGATTCAGGGTCACGGTCTACCATTCCCAAAAGAACCATCAAGGAAAGGTGATCTCCTGGTTTCGTTCGATATCAGATTTCCCGACTCATTAACGCAAAGTGCAAAGGACATACTATATGATACTCTGCCAAATTGAACTTGCTAATGAAATAAAAACTATGGATAAATGTCATCACAACGACAGTCCTCTAATCGTCCCAATTGACGAGAGTAAACACTCGTGTACGTTCTAGTACATATAAATGCGTGGTTAGAGAGCTGTGAAAGAAAGGAATCATTTGTCAAGGCGAAGTAAATAATAATTTTATCTCATATAGTTAGGAAAATGTGATTTTTCCGTTTAGTCAAACGTAAAATTATCAGTTTCTTGATTTGGGCTTAGGCAGAACTTCGTTTTCGTTCAATTTCGGAGCAAATTGTATAATTGAAAAAGGAAAGATAATAGGATACATGTTAATTTGATTAGTACAGTGAAATGTACATTACCTTAACCACGCGGGCGGAAAGATCCTAAATAGTGTTTAAGCTCGAATACGTTTAAGTTAATACTGATTTAATAGCAAGAGTCTGTTACAGTGTAACTCTGTACGAACGCGGTATGATTATTTTATTCATTCTGTACATTCAAAGTATCTATTATGTACACATGTCGAATGAATGAGTGTGTTTGCGTACGTATGCGTGGTTTCTGTAAGTATTGTTTCGATAGTGTAAATGTGTTTTGACACAACCTGATTCGTATGAACAATAGTCACTGCGTAAGTATGACAAAACGATCCACCGCCGTCATTTATGTTCAAATAGCCACAAACATTATTGTTGTTTGTTCAATTGTAAACAATTCTATTTTTATTTATTATTTTTATAATATAAAATATACATGCAGGGAAAAAATGTATATTGGAAAAGGTTAATTATTTAAAATTCTAGATCTTACTATATATATCTTTGAAGTTACGGTGATTAGCGTAACGTTTTGTCATATGAAAGCAGATGTGCGTATAAACTATTTGTAATATCGAGCTGATTGTTTTCTTATGTAACGCGTCTTCATAATTTTAATGGTTGGTTAATTATTTGTACGCTAAAATAATATCGATACAATTAAGTAGCACGGTCTGTATTTTTATTCGATCCTTTGGTCTCTTCGAATATCTCCTACGCTGAATATAACATCGGGACACTCCTAAAATAGACAGCGAAGTAGGTGACGTCATCGTCCTATCTCTCGAGATACTTTCACATACAACTACGTAGCGAACAGTAGAATTTCAGTGTAAATACACGTGTGTGTATATACTCGTCCATAAACTGTATACCCTTCATTTTGATATATATGTATATACGTATATATATATGTATGTATAATATTGGTATACGATTTTGAACTGTATCGACATGCTTATATTTATACTGTATACGTGAAGTAAAAGAAGGGACTAGATAATAATAACCAGCAGATAAAAGTAGACACCACAAAAATATCCTGTATATGTTTTGACTTTCTACCAACTGTTCCAAACCTTTTATCCTAGAAAAATAAGAAATTCATTCAATTCATGGTAATGAAAAAGGAATCGATCACGCTACTTTCTCATCTGACTAGATAACTCTAAAGACATCTTCTGTGCTTTTCGCGAACTCAACGTAATCTTTATCGATCCATTCGTCCTCGTCCGGTGGAAATCCAATACTGTGCGACAGAGAGGTCAAGAGAGGCAAACCATCTGACCCTAGGCTAAAATACTTAATTATTTGATCGTCGAGACCAAGCCCACCGGGATGAGCATTCTGGGGACCAAATTCTATATCTTCGTCGATCTGTTGACTATCCTGCAACATTATTTTCTCGAAACGAAAGGTCTCCGGCAAACAGTGATGCTGGCGACAAAAATAATTTTGTCCCTCCTCGGCATGGCACCATGTCCCATCTGGAAAGTATGGGTCAAGGCCAAGGTCGTTTAATTCCACGCGCGGAGTGTAATAAGATGCTATGTCTTTTCGTCGACAGAATATAGCGCAAGCCATCCATGGTCTTTCGGGCTCGTGAGGCGCCTGTAGACCGCCACCCTTGCCATCTAATTCTGGCAATCTTTCGCTGAACTCTGCACACTTCAGCGTCGCGAACTCGACGATGCTCTTGCGATTCTTCTTGCATAGACGATCGTCTTTGCAAAGAACAACGTCGTAACGAGTACCCTCGCAACCGATTACCGTGTTCATCGGGGTTGGATTGTTACAGAATCGTTGCCTAGTCTGAGCACCGGTGGACTTGGAAAGGCAACCACTGCGGCAGGAGCCGGTTCTCCATTCGCTCCAACCTCCCGGTTGAACGAACGGCTTCTCCGATCCTGGATAAATCTGCAAAGTATTCTTACAATCACCGCCGCGGCATTCTTTTCCTGGCGCACAGTAAGTTCCATCCAACGCCGGTCCAGCGAAGTAGTAACCGCTTCTGTGCGGAGTCTTGCATTGCAGGGACTCGCACGCTTTGTACCACGTGGCGACGCTGGCGTCTTTGTCGCGCAACAGAAATTCGCACTGCTTTTTACCGGTCCATTCTCTGCCCGGTAAATCATAGAATCGAGCGTGATCCAGGTGAGGATTCGTTTGAGCGGTCGGCCTGTTCGTGAGACATGGTTTCGTGTAAGATAACCTTTGCGCCAGATCCCGACTGCAATCCGACCAGATGGTCTCACCGTGCAACCCTCTGCTCGGGGACATTATGTACCCGTCCTTTGGACACGTATTTCCAGTGGAGTCGTGGTGCATCCCTAGGCTGAAAACAAGGACAGTGGTTAGTAAAGAAAACTTAAGTTGTACGCAACTGTACACGTACTTGTGTCCAATCTCATGCGCGGCTATATAGACAGAGGTAAACCCTGCTGATGGAAATGGTTTTCCAAATTGATTGGTTACACCTAATTCAGCGATAACGCAAGAATATCGATCGATGCACAATCCTCCTACCACTGCTAGTCCCATAGTGGCACTGTTCTTCCGCCCAGCTTCTATAACATAAAAGTCCAGACCGGAAACGTATAGTCCCATGTCCCAATGGTTAGGATGATGTTCATCAGGATTGTTTTTCATTGCATAACTGCAAAACGAATCCAACAGACGACCTCTCTCCCCGTCATGGTGCGGAAGATCACGCGGCTGTTTCTGCATGATTTCTAACCGCACCAAAGAGATATCTATGGTGGTTCCCAAACTTGGGTGATGATAAATCGCTTGTACGCCATTTATGTACGCTAGAAGCATATCGCGAACTTCTTCGTCGTTTCTGTTAAAAAATGGTGAGAAGAGGTTGTATCCAGCCTGGTCGAAGAACACCGCCAATTCTAAGGTTAATGCATCATTTTGGACGGAATTCTTAATAAGTTTCTCGAGGGGTTCTCTTGTTTCCTCAAGTTTCATCAAGTCATTGTCCAGCCATTCATAATACCTCGGTTGGTCTTCAAAAAATAGAGCGGAACCTTGGGCTCTTTTGACGATATGAGGCTCTCCCAAGGTTTCTGAACGCTGTCTGATATAACGATCATTTAAGAATAAAGTATCTTCATCCTGGAGCGGTGTAATCTCTAAGGTGATGTTCTCCAAAAACACAAGACCATGCTGCGATATGAAAGAATACTACTTTACCGGCTGTCCTCTTTTCTAAGAAACCAGATATTTTTGTTATACTAACCACCCCGTTTCCTTTGCAAAGACTTATCGCCGCCGAGCTAAAGTCGTCTCTATGAAGATAATGACAGGAGACAGGGTTGCTAAGTTTTGGTAATTCTTCCACAACGTCTTCATCGTTGTGCTTCCAAACACGAAATTGAGGCGCTACAATTTTGTCGTTCCTGCGTAACTTTAAGTCGACTGACCGATCGAAAGCTTTGAAACTTAGAGGCACCTGTAATTTATTAACTCGTTCAAGCCTCGTTACGTAAGCTTTAATTAATAAGGTTGTTTCGAAGCTTCTGGTAGGAAAGTCGACCATTAAGACATTTTAACTCTGATCGAATTATGTAATAACCAGCATGCCTTTAGATGGCATGTGTAATTCCAGTTTCCAAAGGCCACAAATATTACCTAAGTATATCTTACCATGTACGAAATGTAATAATAATTTATATTAAATTTCTATTAAATTAAATCACTACCTCTGCGTTTTCATTTGCGTTCCATAATTGCAACAAAACAATTTCGGTGTCTCTACTGTATACAGCACCGAACAACATCAGCAACACGGTCTCTAATGCGAAGGCCATAATACACGCTTTGAAATTCAAGTTCAAGTACTTAGAATAACAACAAACTTGTTCTTTATATATTCATACGGATGCGTGTGGGTGCATATGAATTGCGAAACCCGTATACCGCGTTTATCTTTGCAAATGCATTATACAATGCAAGATGCATGCTGGCACCTGTATCGAAAATGTCATTGACATCGAGATTTGAATGAATTAAGTAATAATACAACGAATTTACATTAGCGCGTATCGCGTGTAGGAAACGGAATACAAATAGGGACAGTTATATTTGACAAAATAAAAAAAGGCGATGAAGAAGAAGGATCTAATACCTTAGGGGGTCTATGGTATTCATTAGAGAAATAAGAAATAATTAATCAACATTAAATCCTGAAATCAGTATTTTTGACATAATCAGTTTTAGGATCCACGTTGATTAGAATCAATTATTACCCCTCTGAGATAACAAAATCCTTAAAACTTTAGATCCTTTTCTTTTAACACATTCTACATACATATCTATTTTGTTTTATTATATGATAATAGCATTATCATGGAACGGTTAAAAATTTACTAAATTAAGATAAAAATGTGGTATATTTTAATGCATTATTGATTACTCGATGTACAAAACAGATACTGGTATGAAATATAATCTGTTCAGGTAGAACTTTGTACTTTGTTGCATTATATCTACAGAGATACTGTTTACATCTGCTTGTCGACCCTATAAAATCGTGTTACGATCATTTTTCTTTTATTGTATATATCTCAACCATTATTCGCTCACGCAACAAATGAACGAATGATTACTATAAAAGTGCTAGCGTTCCTTTAGCTATCGTTTACAAAAGAAGTATTGCATAGACAACGATTAACACAATCGGGCAACATGATTAATAAAATTTCTCTTTCACGCTTAAAAAAACGTATCTACCATTCTATACTCTGTTCCTTTCCTAAATTCCCTCGTTAAAGAAATTGAGAAATATGGTAACGGGTACAATATTAATTATCATGATTTTCTAATCGAGATGAATAAAAATGATCGCAAATGGAAGGTAGGAATGAATGAGATAATATGCTTGTTACAAAAAACCTTAGTATTAAAATATTTCAATAAAAACAATAAATAATAATTATGATCAATAATAAAATTAATAGAAGATTCGGCAGTGTATGTAAACACGCTAAACTTGGCGAATGCCTACATATCGTTATTCATTATATGTATTTAATGTATAAGGGGATTATTAAATAATTCGACAATTAATTACAATAATTATACGGCGAGCGTTTGATTTCTTTTTTTGTTCTTCCCTCGTCCTTTTTACAGAATTAACTCACGACATTTTGCTCGGCTTTTTTTTCTCTTTACAACTTTCTATATACGACACAATGACTAAAAAAAGGAATCGATTTTTTTTTTTTTATACATCGTAAACGCGCACCGTTTCGTTAAGTCGCGTTCTATCTATTTACAAATCATTTCGAATTCACCAGCGACATTTGTTAAATCCGATCAAATTGCTGGAAAATTTCCTATTCAACACTCGCAGAGAGAGGATTATTATTCTTTGGATATTCTGCACAATCTTACAAATCTTCGTGAGTAAATTTGTGCCAACGAAAAAAGAGAAAGACAAAACAAAAATAAGAGGATGAATTAAATTTAACTTCCAGTTAGTGAAATGACTATTTTTTCGCTGTCTGTCGTCATACAATTCATGAGCAACAGTGAACACTTCGATATGTATCTTCCAGAAACAATTGGAAGATACATGGAGCCGCGTATAAAATTTGCAGCGGATATTTGCTACGAACACACGTAGGTTTTGGTAGCTTCTTTTTCACTTTTTCTTTTTTTTTCTTTTTTTTTTTGTTTATCAAATAAACGTTTTACCCGCGACATCCATAATACATGATACATCCTTTACACAGCACTTTGTTTTCTTTCTCTACTACATTTAATATGTAATAGATATGTACCATAATTATTATAGACGTGCTGGTTACAAATCGTTTACTTCTATTCCTTTCTAGGAATATAATCTCTATGGTATCAGCATATATTTATGAAGGCAAACACATTCTCACCGTGTCACATATCAAATTCATAATGATTATTTCCTAAATTTGTTCACCAAAAAGTGTAGTTACTAATTAATATTAAGTTAAAATGCTTATCGGTGAGTAATGTATAACAGTGTGTTTTTTCCAACCTTCACTTTTCAATATACGCCTGTACACGGTTAAATATTAATTAGATTTGTTTTACGAATGAAATATAAACTTGATTTCGTACTACATATAGCCTCGCACTGATCGTGTGTCAAATAAATATAATTTTCTACTAACGAAATACGATGAAACAAAACGACAGGGCTCGACAGTTTGTTTAATAGTCAGACAAAATTGCTTCGTTTAATGTGAAACGAATAATAAAAGAAACTATACTCAAGCTAGAAGCGTGCAATGTACTGCAACGTTGTACTCCTCTCGATGATTAAGAATTAATTTAACACCACACTACATAACGAAATAACATTTCTTCCAAGACAAGAAACGATATATCCATAACTAAAAATAAAAGAAAAAAAAAAATAGACGACATTTTTTGTTATTTCTGCAAACCTAACAACCATAAGAGAATTCATTAGAAGCTTGATATAGTCATTTGAAGATGCTGTGTATAAAAAAATTAAATTAAGATTGTTCGTCATTCGAAGGCCATTGTCCAGAATGATTCCAATCCCAATCCTTCCCTTTTGGACGAAACTTACTGGTACTTCCAGAATTGTTCCAGTCTCTATGAAAAAATTTCTTCTTAAAATGATGTCGTTCCGGATCTGATTGACGTTGATATTTTAGAGGCACTGAGGATGTGCTTCCTGTACTACTGTTGGAAGGATTTGGTGGACGAGGACTGGTTGGTGAAGGTGTACGTGGAGGTCCTAGCGCTTCGTCGGGTGAAGGAATCACCGGTGGAGGACCCGTTACGGTACTATCTGATCCTAATCCACTATCAGGACTCGTGTTCACTCCCTCTGTTGATCTTCTTCGTTTGTCTAGTTCCGTAGATGCAAATGCAACCAGTCTATCGAATCCAGAACTGATACGATCTTGCCAATCCGCCTCTCCATCTGCAAAACAAATTCGTTTTAGTCGTACCGTTCGTGTACAGTAAGACGGTACAACAGATTTTCATAAAAATAAGCCAATAACCCTTTTCATTTTATCTTTATGGTTTCCTATAAACGTATTCAGTTATGTACATGCTAAAACCATAAGTATTATAATACAAAAGTTAAGAGATTTGTCAAATATTTTAAACTTAAAATAATTCTAAAGAAGAGGAGGAATAGTGGATATTAAGATTACTAACTGGTAAATATGTGTATGTATCATGGATACTACCTTATAATCTACACTTCATTTTTCCTTGTACATGTACAAGTACTCAATGAAGAGAACACTATATTAATCGCATTTAGTATATTATACTATCATGCAAACAAGCATGCACCAAAATTACAAAAGCCCATCAACTAAAGGATACAATGTTTCTGTGTAAATCTAACATGCTTTGCTTGTTCTTTGTATGCACAGGTCGGCTGTAAATATATAGATTTATCGAGTCTGGCTTATTTTCATGGAAATACTTCAAATAAATTTTACACCTCTATTAGAATAAAATACATACATTATCTGTACTTGTTGCTAAAATAATCTATAACTTTGGCTGTAATAACGATAAAAAAAAAAAAATTTTGAACAACCCCTGTGGGATAACTCACCAGCAACCACGAACCAACCCACAGGCAGCCGTACTTTTTCATTTCTCCTCTGAACGTGTCTCAATCTCTAATAAAACAAGCTTCAAGGGTTGGGAGTGAGATTGAGTATGTGACAGACAGATCTAACCAACAAACAGCTACAGTGCATCTAACAAATACAGCAAACAACAACAAAAATAAATATAAATAAAGATTAAGTACCAGCTCCATAAGATAAGATAAACCATTAGTGCAAAAAAAAAAAAAAAAAACTATTGGAAGATGCATAGCAGAAACTAACACGAGAGTGTTTTAAAAGGGTAAAGCAGAGTGTTTAGTAAAAGTTTTGTATAGTAAAGGTTTAAAAGAGTATTCACGAATAGTGTAAATAAATTGTATATCTTGGTAAATAATAAGGTGATAATTTAATCTAGATCTAACTGTAGTCTTTTCTAGTCCATCACAAGATTTTTAATTTCCATTACCAAAGTGGGTAATAAAACTAAACTTAGGAATATATTTATAAAAACTGAAAATATATTGATGTCTCTTCTTACAGCCAGTTCAGGAAGCATATTTCAGAACTTGGATATGTACATTCCGAAGCATTTCCTACTTGAATAATTCGATAGAACGCATAATTAAAAACAGCTTAAAAAACATAATACATTCTGCTTACCGTCGTCACCGATACCGTTTCGTTGTCTCTGCGTTGTCATTTGGGGTTCGTCAACTAATGGTGTAGACGTATTTGAATGCGGTTCTACAAGAGGACTTAACGGTGCTCCGCTTGTGCTTACTGACGATACAACTGCTTCTGTCTTTACTGACACTGAAGGTTGCGATTGGCAAATGGCTGTTACGATACCATTTGCCGTTGTACTGCCATTACTGTTACTGCTGGTTGCATACCGAGGATACGGTTGAAATCTATTGAAAAAATAGCACACATTAGTAGACAATGATGGTTCTTTTACTTTTAAATAAAAATGTAAAAATTCCAATACCTTCTACTTGTAGAAAGCATTGGCTCGGTTTTCGTATTGTGATTATTTAATATACGGGCGTGTAAAGATGCAGCTAAGCCTTCTACTGGTAAAAGTTCGCCGTTCGATACAGCTTGTGATGAATGCAATGACGGTGGAGGATGAGCTTGCGCAAGCGACTGAGGATTGTCAGAGAAATACGACTCGTGATAAGGCTTGATGTCTGCGCGAGGTAATTGAACTGGTGTGTATCTAAATAAGAAATTATAACATGAAATTATCTCGTAAACACAATAAAATAACATATTATACAATACCTTTGTGGTTGTGTAACCGGAGTGAACAACACGGATGATCTTGAAGTAGTAGTAGGAGTACACGTCGAAACCGCTGAGGAAGTTGGAGCGTAACTCGCAACATGCGCGAGAGTCGATAAACCAGCATCACCCTCCGCGCTAGCTGGTCTACTAATGGGAGAATATACAGTCTCCGGCCTTATCATTGCGCTCATATCAACAGCTGCATTTATTATAGATTGATTAGATATTTCTAGTGTCCTCTCTATTTCACCACTGACCAAATCACCAATTGTTCTAGTACCAAGCAATCCGTTTCCCCCTGTTACAATACGATTGTCGTGACTCGACTGCCTGGAGTCGATTGTTGACCTATCAGACGGCGTTAAGTGAGAAGAAA